ATCATTTGCAAGTCCCCCAGTGCGGAGAAGCACTTACGAGTATTTACTTTGAATTTTTCAAGTATAAGCATTTGCTTATTTTTATTCATACGGGAGGCCCGTATGAATAAAAATAAGCAAGTGTAGTTTTTATTAGCGCGTGGGTCTACGGAGAACGACGCAAATTGGCGCATAATGCGACCCCAATTAATATGCTCGAATTTTAGTGACTGTCAATACGGACTTACCTTGGAAATACTCATCTTGAAGGAGAAGGACGCAGAACCAATGCTTCAACAAAAAGTCTTGCACTGAATTTGCACTGAGGAATTGTTTAAAAATAAGGAATCAGTTATAGTGCTACTGAGACTTCGACTCATGGTATAGATAAAAAGGTGTACCTAAGACCTCAGACATATGCGCAAATCGCGAACTAAAACTGATTTAAGGGCCGAACTTGATAGATTCAAAGATTTTGAAATTGCGTGCCTCAGGTCTGCGCTCACTTTAGTCCTTAGGCGACGCATAGTTCCTTCAGCTCACCTCATTTCGACCATACCAGGGAATTTTTAGGATTTGCGTTTTAATTATCTCATTGTTTAGATAATTAATCCACGTGTTGTCGAGATTGTTTGAGGAATTTCCCCGTAATTGTTATAATGACATTAACATATCCACTAAATTGTACAGTAAAAAACGCCATAATTGCATTATGTTCAGACCGCGATCAGAACGACTCAAATAAAAAAAAAACAGACAGTGCTAAAAAGGGCCCAAACAACTCTGAAAAGAACTAGCACCAGACTTACAGAGTGTTCGAGCGCTTTTTAAAGCGCCTCCCAAAGAACTTGCAGAACCATCAGAGCCAGAATCATCTTCATGGTCAAAATTATAGTCGCAATCAAAATCAGGGTTAGATTCGGGATGAGTCAGAATAAAGACCAGAGTCAGAGTCCACTGTCCAATCAGCGCCAACGTCATAGCTATCTACAATAATATTCGGCATGCCATACATCACAGGTATACAACGCCATCAAAAAGGCAACCACCGCTGCACCGGATCCTTGTTTTGGATGTGGCACCTCTGTAGTAAGCGGCCAGGTATGTCCGAACTGCAAACATCGAGTGGGAGCCGCGCAGGTAGACGTTTCCGCGATACAAAAGACAATAGTGCGATCGGCAGATAGCCGGATGAGAAAAGGACCTGCTACAAGACCGCATTCGTCTCCCCTTGTGAAGGTGACTGCCTAAACCGTCTGAGTGTCCTTGAGGAAGACATCGACAAGGATATATTGACGACCAGATCCTTTGTGAACATTTTTGTGTACAATAAAATTGAATCTTTTGAATTAGGCTTTACCCACATAACACTGAATACCTATTTCTCTAATGTACCAGGAATATTCAAAAAGGTATATTTGAACACGTATTAAATATACCTACGCATTGTAAGATATGCGAATGGGAATATCCCTGATATTGTGTGAATAAACTTAAAAAATATTCTTTATTTATTCTGAGTATTTTAGAACATGATGCACATAAACCACTTGGGATATTCTGAGAATAAACATACAGAATATTCTCATGTTATTCTGAATACTCTTTGTATATGAGGTATATAATATGTACTATTTCGGATATTCTGAACATAAACTTGAATGAACGGTAATCGTTTCTTCTCAATATTCTGAATATATTGTGATAATCCACCCTTATGGTTAGGCAACACACCTTTACATCTGAAACAAAAATGTGATAATATGCTCTGTATATAACCAATCGACCGTTTTGCGTAGATGCCGAATACTAGGGGATTTTGGTAACAAAGCTAGGGGAAAAAAGCGTGACAGAAAAAAGAAGATGGCGACGCGGTCGACGGAAGGCATCACACGTTCCCGGTTTTTTTTCTTGATTATTTTGGTTGTGTTGTTTTGAAGGTGTATTTACAGGTAGTAACCATTTTATTCTTTCTTGTACTAACTATTAATCATTGAATTTCTTGTCACAATATGATATTATTTACGTTTTCCTGATTTTGCATAACCTGCCGATATCCAATCATGGCGTACTCCATGCCTTTGTTTTGAGTACCGTTCGAACTTTCGCTGTTTCTCTGTTGCCTACTCGTCTCGTGCGGATTGCAGTTCATGGCATCTTAGCAATGCGAGATATTTAGGGGCCCTCTCATTAACAGTTCCTCTATTTAAAATAGCGATAATCGATTTTCACATGAATACTTGCTATTGACATTCTCACATGTACTTTTCGTGTTAAATTAATTTATGTTAACTGAAGGCTGGAGTAGAGCCACACCATTTACATGTTTCCTATGTACATGCAATTTATTATTTTACGAGTTGTGTTATCTCAATTGATCGTACAGGTATTTTGATGTGTTTTTGTACTGAATTGATTTATCCGTTTTTCCACTGCATTTATGATGTCTTGTGTATTTTGTTTTTATGAACTTGTTTAATTGCATTTGATTTGATTATTTGATTTTTACCATACAATTTGAGATGTTTTATTTATGTGTATTATCTCTTGCATTTTATTGCCATAAGTGATTTATTTAATGTATTTGTGTGGCGTATACCGGGGTTTTTGTCCCGTAGAATGTTTCCCTAGCATGGTCTTGCTGTGTGCGTAATATATTTATTTGTTCTTGTCATTTCTTACGCAGAAAAGTTCTCTCTAATTTAATTCCCTTCCCGATTATGTCTCACGTCCCAACACATACAAAAACCGATTACACAACGTAGGAGTTCGTGCCACCCATATCGAGCAGACTGCCATCCAAATTCGAAAGTGCGGCGAAACGTCCATTGTTTTGACTTGAAAGGTAGGTGGCTCTGCTCATAGTTTTTTCTCAGAGTTGCCAACAGTAAGTATAGGGTAAGTCAACGTTTGCAGTGTCGACTTGATAGACTCCTAGGACCATTACACATGTCTGATTGTACCGTCCTATGTATTTTCAATGGGCCACTGAATTTTACGTGTGACGATTTTTTGTTTGTTTGATATTATCGATCCGAATTTCGCTTGTTAACCCTTGCTCGGTGCTTTCATTTGAATGCGACGTTTTATTTAAATCCTTGCGCCATCTAGGTAATTTCTTTGTAATTCACTAGTTATAGTTCTTTATTCTCTTGTGATAGCTTTGAATCGTTCTTCTCGACTTAGAAACAAGATGGAACTACTGAATTTACACTCAATGCGCGTACCCATTGTACAGACTGTCAAGTATAAAGGTCAGTCGTGACAATGACGCCGACACAGTTTCCTGGAACTGTGCACACAACTCTCAGACAACTCAGGCTAAATCCCAATTCTGCAATCTACGCCTGGGAAAAGAAATCGACACTAGTCTGACGGGCGATAACACAATCTTAATGTGTTTTATTTAACCGAAACATCTGAATCAGAGATACTCGTAGTGAGCTCATTGAGCAGCATGTGCAGTGCTGAATTTGCAGTAAACGACCCTGAGTTTCGATAGATGCTGTTTATACGCATTTAATTGGGGTAAGAAAAGGAAATCAATTGGTTGTTCGATTTAAACTGTTTTGTAGGCGTGTTAGAAAATTAAAAAGAGTAAGGACGCGTCCAGGAGAAATATCGGTTGGGCATTCAGTTTTGGACCACCAGAACCTGAGTGATACGAAATATTAGAAGAATATTAAAGCGAGGGGTATTTGATTCAGTATTCTATATACCCGGTGCTACATTCTTCCTCAGCACATTCAGCCCGAAAGACTGTTGTGGTAGTTTTGCTCAATTTACTCAGAGCAAAAGTAGCAGCACTACGAAATCTAAAATGGTTCTGCTCGTAGTTTATTTCAGAGTTGTCAACGGTAAGTATAGGGTAAGTCAACGTTTTCAGTGTCGGCTTGATAGATACCCCCTTAGGATCATTACAATATGCTCTATACTTGACTTGAATTAATGGGACATTCATAAGTTTATTAGAATAGGTATATGTAGTATAAAAAACAATCCTCATATATCATAAAGGGATCACGTGACTGTGAAAAACAAATATTCGCCGTAGGTACATCCAGGTAACAGAATATTCAATACCCAAAAATTAAGGAATATTAATAGTGTCTTCTCAGTATATTTATTGCTGAATATCCTTGGAATATCCAGACGAACGTATACATTCTATGGATATTTGGAATATTCACATACCTTCTAGCATGTTAACAGGATATTTTAAAAATATCCAATGTCATCTGAGTAGAGATTTCATTTACCAGTACCACACCACTTTGAAAACGGTTTCCAAATATATTCTATAGATATATAATTATACACAGTGCGTTCGAGATAAAGGTTCATCTTATAATATCTCTTTTATTAAGGGAGATACGAAAAATTCGTAAAATTTAGTTCTATATGTGACATTACGACCTTTCCGATACTTCCGGTGGCAATTCCGGCTTAATCGGAAATCTATGCAACTTTTGTTTTTTCAAATTTAATGGCTATGTTTTTTACGATATTTGAAAAGAGCAAAAAAATCCTAAAAAATCTATTGTTAATTAGCCGGACCTCCTCCAATCCGGAATGTATCTGTAGGTCCTGAATACGGGAACCTTAGACTAAAGTTGTGTTTCGAAATGAATGCCGTTAAGCAGTGTTGTGATTTGTGAAAGACAAAAATGTACGCAAAACATGAATGGAAAACATTGTTTTTTAAATTACCACCTTTACGGAGCCGGTAGCACGTTTCAGTTTTTCGTAAAAACTTAATAATCTTGTTCAAGATCGGACCTATCACCCTCTCGTATTGTTAGCAAACGCCGTTTTTTTTATTGTTTGTCAATTTTTTTTTGCTTAATTGTTGTGAGAATGCAGTTAAGGTTGTGTCACAAACCCAATTGATGAATTTTTTTAATAAGGCGTAAGCACATATTTTTCCATTGCATTGATTTCATGCCTAATTAGGTACTCGGATGTCGGTATACAATGTGTGCCAAAAGAGGTATACCCGGTGAGCAAGTTAAAACTCAAAGGAACACACCAAAATGGTACAAAACTAAATTTTTATATTAAAATAAGTGAAACGAGTATTCTTAAACTAGACAAACGATAACATTTAACAGAACAGTATTAGTCATTACAATAAATACGGAGGAACTAGATAGAATCATTGTTAAAATACAATCTCGCGCACATATCACAAATTAAACAAGGCGCCGAGTTATCACTCGTAATGATATTACTACAAATACTACAAATGTAAGCATTTTCGTTAACCGCCGCTTCCATCTGAAGAGCGTAGTCGTCCGCCTGCCGCTGATTAAATTCTTTACACAGTTCGCCTTCGATGTCGTCCCAAATCAGTGCCATCTCCTCGACCGTCGGCTCTTCTTCGCCACCGTTTAGCAAGGTGCTTTTTAGTTGGCGAAACGTTTGGTATGCGTGCCCAATTGCATTCTTGAAAAGGTTGCGGTTACGGGAGGTGTCACCCTGACGGCTGAGCTTTAGTCTCTCGTGGAATTGCTGCAAACAAATTTGTAAACTGATGAGAATCGCCGAAATGTACCCACCTTTCGTATGTCTTCTCTTAGTTGTTGTACGGTAGGGCTTCTCGAAAGAACTTTTGCCTTGCACGCATCGTAATTTTTCGATGCCATCAATGGAATCCTTTAATGATAATTGGAAATGTTCAATTTAAAAGTTTTAAATGTTCACACATAACCTCAAAATTCACAAACAAAACAACGGAAGACACCCCGCGCTGTTGCCAGATTGATTAAAATTGCTACTTTAGCAAGAATTATTTTGAACTGTTAAGTAGCATTGGTAGCATTCACAACCTTAAAACTAATACGCACAATTATTAACAATTCAAAATTATCGTAAACGTTTAAGGTATGTATTTTAAAGGGCAACATTCACAATATTGAAAATTAATAGTTAGAATTAATACTTAACCCAGAAGTTTGCAAACTGTAAACTTTGCCGCTTAATTTTACTGAAATTAACAGAGGTACGCATGCGTGCTTTTATATAACATAACAGTCAACATAACCATGCCTTTTTTGTTTTGATTTTGTTACGTCTACAGACTACAATGAATGTGGAGAACAAAAAAGTACCTTGCCGCATTAGAATTAGGCCCGATTTTTGTGCTTGCGCTACAAGATATGGTGAAAGTTGCCATATTAACCTCTCTGTTACATAGATGGCGACACTGTTTACATACTAATTTCACATATTAATTTCATGCATTGCGAATGATTCCTTTACGTAATAATTTCACTCATTAATTATAAACATTAATTGGAGGTTGTGAATGCAGCTTAAGCCGTCAATCAAAATTAAAAATTCAAATGTCATAGATAATGGCGCACACGCACTAAAGTGACTAGATTTAGTAACTTTAACACGCACTAAAGTCACTAAATATAAATATATCTATATAAACCTCTCGCCAGGAAAGATTGCCGGTCACAGAACACTTGATCCTGGTCTACAATCTGTTTTTATAAAGATGTGAGCGACTTCCGGGATAGTATCATGTCAATGTTGAACAAAAAGGCTTTTCGTTCAACATTGGCACGATCCTATTCCGGAAATCGCTCGCATCTTAAGAAAAACACAGATTGCAGATCAACACAAGGTGTGCTGTGACCGGCAATCTTTCCTTGCGAGAGTTATAGTGACTTTAACACGCACGCTTACTATGCGCCATTTCTGTATGCTCGACGTTTGTACCACGGCTATCGTGCAAAGGTGTATTGTATGCGTCTCTCGCCCTCGTATGCTGCTTTTCTTATTCATGTGTTAATTTTCCTTCAAGGTATTGAATTATTGGTTACCTATAAGTATACATTAAACTGGGACCGCGCGGTGTGTGCCCGCGCAACTTGTGCTTCATTAAGACTGGATCAACAAATGCTACAGGAAAGGCAAGTTCAATCCTCCGCGTATTTGCAGTTTGCACTTTTTACCAATGGCACGCCATTGGAAATTAAATACATCTAGGGAAGAAAGAGTTAGGACTAGGGAACGCAAGCGATTAGTAGAATCACTTCTTCAGGATCCAATTGACATAACCACTCCATGAACACCTGAATTTTCAACACCAGAGCTATGTGTTCAAGAAGTAAGATGTACTTGTACATGGACAAACAAGACATTAGAGTTAAAGCGACAGAATGAACATCCGGGGCCAGACAGAAAGGCGTGAAAAAAATTTCATCAAAAGCCGTCCAGCCGTTTAGGAGTTAAGTCACACACATACTTACAGAAGAATTTTATATATCAAGATAATTATCCATGCAATACTAAATTATAAACCTTTCGATTCCATAAGTAAAATTTACGGGTTTTATTGGTACCTAAACGTATAGCAAATGTCGGCGATCATACGTATGCACTGTGGAAATGTCAAAGAAATAAACTACTCCTGATTGAAGCTTAAAATATCATTACGATAACAAACACAAATATGCAAAAATTAACTCTATTTGCATATAGTAAATGACAATTGTGTGGTAGGCGGTGCTTACTGCGGGCTGAAGTACGTCACAATTGGCAGCGCGTTTTATTGGTTGTTTGGAAGTGAGGCAACCGTTTAGTATTGTATACGAACCGTGGACGCCACCCACTTAAAAGCTGCTGAGAACATACACGAGATGGCGCGTCATTTGTTCGTTATCTTTATGTTTGATTGTTCTGGCCCAAACCATAGAGATATGAGAACAACATACGTCTATGGCCCAAGATAGCAAGTAATTCGAGTGAAATTAGCGTCACTCCAACAAACGTAGTAATGTGATTGAATTCAAACTATTATTGTTTAAACAATTTTTATTGCAATTTTTTAAAAATTACCCCAAATGTCTTTGAATGTTTCATAAAAAGTGAAGCCGTCGGCATATTCGCCCAGCGATCGTTAGGTTTTGTTTATTAAACGATTATTTATTGTAAAATTATTACGAGTGGTATCAACTGTCTTTCATGTAATGGCAGTGGTCTTTAATATCGTAGGCAGTTTTATAGGGTTAGCTTTAGTGGATTTTCACATTAAATAGATGAAATATTGTTTTAGTTGTTAAAGTTGCTTATTCTCCTATGGCTAATGATTACAAGAATCACTTTACATTTTTCTTTAGAGCCCTAAAATTTGGATTTCATGTGTTTGTGTGTGCTAGCTTAAACGTGGCAACGCTGCCTAAGAAACTGGTGATTCTATGCACAGAGTTGTATAGTAAATACAACTCTGATATCAAGATCATTCATTTTGCTACTGACGCGGTGGTTACTCAATTCTTATTCAAGTTCTGTTACTCAGAAAGTAAGTAGTTGCCTTGGCAGATCACTCTGTTTTGTTTAATACCAAAATAGGTTTGTGATAAACTCATTTAACAAAGGACCGATGATCAGTGATGATCAAATCAGCCATCATCAGTCAAATTTAAGTTGTTTTCACAAAACGTGTACCTATCATCTGTCCTCAACATGTAATCGACAAGTGACAACACCTAATGATGTTTGAGCATGTGATAATTTTAGTTTATTAAATGGCCGATGATCCGTACACCATGGGCAGAACCGATGTCTGTGCTTTTTTCATGGTACTCGAACCTGTGGACGATGCTACTTAAAACAGAGCATAGGCCGAATTGTCAGTCCTGATTATTGGTCCTTTATCAAACGGGCGTTATTTATAACATTATTGTTGTTAGGAATGAATGGAGATAATGACACACTACTCATTAAAATCGAGCCAAAACATGAAGAAGAAATCCATTCCGATATTCAGGGACACATTTCAGTAAGCAACGAAGTTTTGGTGACAGTAAAGGATGAAATTACCATTGGTACACAGTGTTCCACTAAATCTTATAATGAAGAAAGAAGACACTCTGACTTTCATCACCTTTTCACTAGGGGTAAAACAGTGTCTAAGGATTTTGAATGTGCTGATTGTGATTACGGGACAAATCAAAAATACAACTTCAAACATCTTTTAACACATAAAGTTTCTAAGGATTTTAAATGTGCTGATTGTGATTATGAGACAAACGATAAAAATCTCTTTAAACGACATCTCTTAAGACATAAAGTTTCAAAGGATTTGAAATGTGTTCATTGTGATTACGGGACAAATCAAAAATACAACTTCAAACATCTTTTAACACATAAAGTTTCAAAGGATTTGAAATGTGCTGATTGCGATTATGAGACAAATGATAAAAGCAACTTTAAACAACATCTCTTAAGTCATAAAGTTTCAAAAGATTTGAAATGTGCTGATTGTGAGTATGGGACAAATAATAAATTTTACTTCAAACGACATCTTTTAAAACATACAGTTTTTAAGGATTTGAAATGTGCTGATTGTGATTATGAGACAAACGATAAAAAACTCTTTAAACGACATCTCTTAATACATAAAGTTTCTAAGGATTTTAAATGTGCTGATTGCGATTATGAGACAAATGATAAAGGCAACTTTAAACAACATGTCTTAAAACATAAAGTTTCAACAGGTTTAAAATGTGCTGATTGTGAGTATGGGACAAATAATAAATTTTACTTCAAACAACATCTTTTAAAACATAAAGTTTCTAAGGATTTGAAATGTGCTGATTGTGATTATGAGACAAACGATAAAAATCTCTTTAAACGACATCTCTTAAGACATAAAGTTTCTAAGGATTTGAAATGTGCTGATTGTGATTATGAGACAAATTATAAAAATCACTTTAAACGACATCTCTTAAGACATAAAGTTTCAAAGGATTTTAAATGTGTTACTTGTGATTATGGGACAAATTATAGAGGCAGTTTAAAACAACATATTTTAACACATAAACTTTCAAAGGATTTGGAATGTGCTGATTGCGATTATAAGACAAATCATAAATCCGCTCTTAAAAGACACGTTTTAAAACATGGTTTCTAAGAATTTTAAATGTGCTGACTGAATAATAAACACAACTTCAAACGACATCTTTTGGTAGACAAACTTTCGAAGGATTGTAAATGTGCTACTTGTGATTAAGAGACAAATTATAAATCCGCTCTTAAAACACACCTTGTAAAACAAACTTGCTAAAGATTTGAAATGTGCTAACATGACACAAACAATAAATATACATTTAACCAACACCTTTTGAAGCTCGTTTTGAAGTTTCTATGGATTTTCACTTTGTTCATTGTTCTTATCGGACAATTGTTAAAACGCTATTTCAAACGACATCTTTTAAAACAATCTGAGAATAACAAAGCTGAAAGGGTCCTGTTTCACAAAACGCGTTATAAGTATATCTTGATTATAATAAATAGTAGGTATATTATGCAATGAGCATTTAATGATGGGCGAGTTCCGTAATGAATGGAGACTCATTAAATGCGAGTTTCATACACAATTTTTTCTACCACTGATGAGTTATAAAGAGGTGTTGTCAGTGGCGGACTTACATATAGGCACGTGCCTGGGGACGGCAGCTTTAGGAGGCGGCATTTTGTTGCACTATATTTATTTTAGATAGTATTTTAAGTTTTAAAGTAAGTGCCCTAACAAGTTACAAATGAAAAAAAATTATGAAATAAATTGGAATTGGTAGATAGTTTAAACAAACTTAATTGTAAGAGCGATAATCGACAATGCAAGTTTTGATGTGTGTGAAATGGTAATCGCCCACATGGCATTTGATATCTTATACAGGGTGTTTTTTTGGGAGCTGTAGTTAAAAGATTCTGGGAAAGTAAAATAGGTAGG